GTAAAGCACGACGCGGAGACACAACGCTTGAGGACAAGCTGTTCGGGGAACGCTTGGAAAAGGAAATCCACCCACAGACACCAATGACATCGCCCCACACAGACATCAATAGGGGAACGAAAAGTGGCATAAACATAAAAACTCTGAGGTCCGCGCGGATTTCTCGGATCGGCGCTGGACCCCCCTCCCTGGCGCGCGGAGCGCGCCAGGGGCGGCGCCGGAGGCGCCGCCGGGGGGCCCCAGCGCCGATCCGAGAAATCCGCGCGGACCTCCGAGTTTTTATGTTTATGCCACTTTTCGTCCGCCTAATCAATGAACATCAGGTGGGCAACAAAGTCCTGAGATGAGGGAATCTCGCGGGGGATGGCCAGCATGTCGCCCCTGGCGTTGGGGGGTCCTGACGTTGCTCCACGCGAGCCGAAACCCGAACTGGCGCGATGCCCTTCGCCCCAAGCACCACACGTCCCACGGTGGGCAGCCCACTTCCACCTCCACGCGCTTTCCACCCTCACCACCCGCTGAGACTGAATCATCCGGAGCGAGGGCCAGATGGGGGACCAAGGAACACCCAAGCGGGCCCTCCATGTGCCAACGAACGATCAAATGCATCACGCTCCCTGGCGATGCTGATTGCGTGCTGGCCTCGGGAGGGTCTGCTCCAGCTGTTCCTGCCCCCACTCCTCGGGCCCTTGCGGGGCGGCCGAACGAGCATGGGTCCTTCATGCGGTCGATGGTCTGCTTGAGATTGGGAGGGATGCGCGTCTCAACGCCGGCCCCTTTGCAGTTCTTCCTCTCTCTGCTTATCCACTGGTCGGCCTCGTGGATCAGGCCCTCCAAGTAATCCAGGAAGTCCTTCTCGTAGTCCGTCTGGTACTTCTCCCTGTCCGGATGCTGCTCGAACTGCTGCTTGAGCGCTACGGAGTGGACCTTGGTGCAGGAGCCTATGTCGCGCCTGAAGGGTTGCCGGGAGGAGAAAGGAGGAGGGAGGAGGGGGAGAGGAGTGACAGAAGGAGGGAGGGGGGACTGGAGAAGGGAGGAGTAGGGGGAGAGAGGAGGGACAGGAGGGAGGAGGGACAGGAGCAGGGAGGAGGGAGAACGGACGGACGGAGGGAGGAGGGGGGTGGGGGAACAAAAAACAGAGCAGAAGGGAGAAGGCAGGCGCAGCGAGGATGGGCGGGAGGAGGAAGGGAGGAACAGGAGAAGGGAGGCGGGATGCCTGTGTCAAGCATCACTCGCCGAGGTCGGGGCGCGCGCCGCGCTCACCGGAGAGGGGGGGGAGGGGCAGGAGGGAGACTGGAGAAGGGGAGGAAGAGCGGGAGAGCGGAGGGAGGAGGAGGGAGGATGGAGAAAGGGGGAGGAAGGAGGAGGAGGAGAATCGAAGAGGGGGCTTGAGGAGATTAGGAGGAGGCTGAGAAGGGTGAATGGGGGAGGGAAGATGAGAAGGCAGAGGAGGCAAGAGGAGGGCGGAAGGAGGGCCAGGAGGAGGGAGGCCGGGAGGGGAGAGCAAAAGGATGAGCTCGTATGATGTCGCGCCTCGTGTTCTTGAACCAGTTGTCCTGGCTGTCGTTCGGGCAGAATCCTACCAGGAAGCGCTTGCAGACGTTGCGCTCCTGAGCGCGGCCCAGACAGACGCAGGGCCACCACTGCCGCTCGGCCCCCCGCCGTGGAACCTCGCTGAACGGTGGCAGCGCCTCCAAAGTTCCTGATCTTGCCTCCCGAGTGGTTCCCTTCGTCATGCCCCTCCTCCCTCATTCCTCCCCGTGGGTCCTCTCCTCCACTTCCCAGCTCCTTCCTCTTCCCGTCCCCATCACAGACACCCTGACATCCATCCTGCTGCCTCCCGTCCAAACCCTCCTCCCTCTCAGTCCTTCCTGCTCCCTCCCTCCCCCGCCCTTCTCTCCCCCCCCTTGTCGTTCCCTCCCCCATTCCTGCATCCCCTCTCCCCCATCCTCACGTTTCCTTTTATTCCCCTCCTCCCTTCCCCCCCTCTTCCCGTCCCTTCCCCATCACATCCCCCTCCTCCCTCACTTCCCTCACTTCCCTCACTTTCCTCACCTCCCTCCCTGCCTCCCTCTCCCCCTCTCCCCCTCTCCCCCCCTCCCCCCTCGCATCCCTCACTGCCTTCCCCCTGCCACCCGGCCTTGCGAGACGAGGGGGGGGGGAGGCACCGCCACCGCCGAGCGACGCGGGCGAGCACGGAGCGGAGTGGCGCGTCAGGCCTCCTCTTGGGGCCCACGTCCTTCCAGCCGTCGCTCCGCTTCTGCTCCTTCATGTCCTCTCGGGTGCGGGGCAGGGCAAACGTAACAACACTGCACCTGTGCTTCCATCGGCGCCCTTCTGCTCCTCCGTCCTCCCGTCGCTCTCCTGCTGCCTCTCCTTTGCCCGCCGCCCTTCTGCCTCATCCCTCCCCCATCTTTCCTCCGCCATCTGGCCCTCCCTCCCTCCACCTCCACCAGGGTCGCCCCCATGGGAGGAGACAGGATAAGAGGGTGGGGGGTGGGGGGGGGAGGGAGAAGGGAAGGGAGGGAGGGAGGGGGGCGGAGGGAGGAGAGGAGGGAGGGAGGGGGGAGGCGGGAGCACGGTTGGAGCAGAAAGCAGGGGCGAGGGACGGAGCGGAGGGGAGGAGGGCGGGAGGGAGGCGGGAGGGAGGCGGGAGGCGGGAAGGGAGGAGTCAGGGAGCACAGCTCCGGCCGAGAGGAAAAAAGGACAAATGCGGGAGGGCGGGCCAGGGATCACGGGAGAGGGAATGAGAGAGGCAAGAAGGGCAGGAACCATGTAGGGTTAAGTCGGGCGTGTCCCCCTACAGGCGAATTTGGGACGAAAAATTAAAGATACCCCAAACATACTCCAAACATGCTCGAAAATAGTAAGAAATGGTCCCCAGACTATTTTTGGACTATTTTTGAATATTCCCACTGTAGAGGGACACGCCCGACTTAAGTGCAGGGAGGGACGAATGGGAGTCGTGGCGCTCGCTCAGTGCAGCCGTGTACGCCCCGGGTCCTTATCCCGGCTGGGGCCCATCAGGGAGTCCAGGAGCTTCCGCGCGTCGTCCATCGCGGCAGATCCTGGATTTCGCCCTCCTCCCCCTCCTCCTCCTCCTCCTCCTCCTCCTCCTCCTCCTCCTCCATATCATGCTTCAACTCTTCCCGCCTCCTCCTCATCTTCCTGATCCTCCTCCAGTTCAGACGCCTCGTCCTCCTTCTCCTTCTCCTTCTCCTTCTCCTCCTCCTCCTCCTCCTCTTCTTCCTCCTCCTCCCCCTCCTCCTCTTCCTCCTCACCATCATCATCACCATTAGCAGCAGCATCATCATCAGCAGCATCACCATCAACAACATCTCCGCCACCACCACAACCACCACCACCACCGTCATCGTCATCATCATCAGCATCGTCATCATCATCATCATCATCATCATCAGCATCATCATCATCATCATCATCATCATCATCATCATCATCATCATCATCATCATCATCAGCATCATCATCATCATCATCGTCGTCGTCGTCGTCATCATCATCATAATCGTCAGCAGCAGCATCACAATCATCATCATCATCAGCATCATCATCATCATCAGCATCGTCATCATCACCATCATCATCATCAGCATCATCATCAGCAGCATCATCATCATCAGCATCGTCATCAGCATCATCACATCAGCATCAGCATCATCATCGCCATCATCTGACTCATCAGCATCATCATCATCATCATCATCATCATCATCATCAGCATCATCATCATCATCAGTATCATCATCATAGTCAGCAACGCCATCACCGTCATCATCCTAATCCTCATTATCGTTCGCATCCGCATCCTCATCCCCATCCTCATCATCACCATCATCAACATCATCATCATCATCATCATCATCACCATCATCATCATCATCATCATTAACATCATAATCATCATCATCATCAGCAGCAGCAGCAACAGCATCATAATCATCAGCAGCATCAGCATCGACAGCATGAGCATCAACATCAGCATCATCATCCTCATGTGTCAGTCTCCTCATCATCATTATCAAACTCCTCCTCCTCCTGCTCTTTCTCCTCTGCCTTCTCCTCCTCCTCCCCCTTCTCCTTCACCTCCTCCTCCTCCTCCTCCTCCTTCTCCTCCTCCTCCCCCTCCTTAATTACACAACATGAATACAACTCTATTCTCTCCACTGATGACGTCTGGAAGGTGTCAGGCCCTCCTCCGCGCATGGTCTTTATGCACACCGGATTCCCGGGAAATGGGTTTTCGCTGAGTTTGTTTTCAAAATGTTGCTCCTGCTGAAGCGCTGGCCCCATTCCTGCGCCTCGGGTTGTTCCAAATCGTGTTCCCGCTGCAGCGCGAGCAATTTCGGTCCTTCCAAATAGGCTCCACAATCAAAAAAATCCCCCCCGACAAAAACCGTCGAAAGTGCTTTTACATTCGGTGTCGATTCGCTGATTCTTGGGGCCGCAGAAGCCCCCCCCCACTTTGGGGCGTCGTCGCTCACTGAAAGTATCACGCGGAAACCTCTTTTTTGCCTTGAGAAGGCGATGTTGAAAGCAGAGCCAGCGGGTGCTCTCCATCGGCCCCGCCTTGGGTGGAGCTTTCAGGGAGCCCAAGGAGCTAGACATGAAACCACGACTCCAGACCGGCCCAGACCTCTCGAAAACGATCAACTTACCCTCCAAGGAACCTGGCGCCATGCCATGGCATGCTGTGTGGTGTCGTGTTCTGCGCCGCTGTGCGATGCCATGCTTTGCGTTGCAATGCTGTGTGATGCAATGCTTCACTGCGCAATGCCACGCCATGCTATGGCATGCTACGCCCTGCCGTGCTCTTCTACGCAATGCAATGCCGTGCTCTTACATGCATCGCGTACCCTCTCACAATCATTGCCCTGCTCGAGATCCGACTTTGCGAACAGCGAGGATATCTACGCCATGGTAAGAGATGGGTGGGAGGGGTAGGACGTCAGATATGAAACGAGCGCACCTAGCGTGTCCCCCCCCCCCCTCCCCCTCCCCCTCATCCTCCCAATGGTTCTCCTCCTCCCTCCTGCTCCTCCTCCTCTGGAGGAGGAGGAGGAGGAAAGGCAGGAGGAGGAGGAGCATGAGGAGGAGGAGGAGGAGCAGGAGGAGGAGGAGGAGAAAGAGGAGGAGGAGGAGGAGGAGGAGGAGGAGGAGGAGGAGAAGGAGTAAGACGACGACGACGAGGGAGGGAAACTGAGGCAGCACCCATGGGGGGAAGGAGGAGGAGCAGCAGCAGCAGCAGGAGGAGCGTCACCACCACCGATAGGGATGGAGGCGGCGGGGCCGCGGGTCCCCCCCGGCGGCGGCGGCCCCGCGCCGCCGGGCGCGCCGCCTCAGCTCATGCGCGGGGCGGGCGCGCACCGCTGGCCGGGGCGGCGCCGGGCCGGCCAGCGCCTGAAGGCCCCCCCCCCCAGCGGTGCCAAAGGTGGCTCTGGCGAGCGCGGCTGGCGCTCGCCCGCCTGCGAGGAGGGCGCCGCGCGAGGGGCGGCCGCCCCCCCCCCCGTGTCCCTCCGCCCTGGCTCAAGGGTGCGTGATAACTCTCGCGTGGCGGCACGGGCGAGGGGAAAGATAAGGATCAGGGTCGGGCGAGGGTGATCAACAGGGAGAGGAGGGAGTGAGTGAGTGAGTGAGTGAGTGGGTGGGTGAGTGGGTGAGTGAGTGAGTGAGCGAGCGAGCGAGTGAGCGAGCGAGTGACTGAGCGAGTGAGTGAGTCAGTGAGTGAGTCAGTGAGTCAGCAAGTGAGCGAGTGAATGCGTGAGTGAGTGAGTGAGTGAGTGAGAGAGTGAGTGAGTGAGTGAGTGAGTGAGTGAGTGAGTGAGTGAGTGAGTGAGTGAGTAGAGTGAGCAGAGTGAGTAGAGCGAGTAAAATGAGTAGAGTGAATTAGTGAGTAGAGTATGGGGAGTGAGAGAGTGAGTGAGCGAGCGAGTGAGTGAGAGCGTGAGTGAGTGAGTGTGCGAGTGAATGAGGAGAAGCAGCAGCAGAGAGGTTAGACTGGGGATGCACAGACCCAAGGACCAGCAGAAACACCGTGACCAGGGAAAAGAGGAGGCGGAGGGACGAGAAGGGCAGGAGGAGGAATATGACGAGGAGGAGGGGAAGGAGGAGGAGGAGGAGGAGGAAGAGGAGGACGGGGAAGGAGAACAACGACGACGACGAGAGGAGGGCGAGGGGGGAGCTGGCCGTGCCTGACCGCGCCCTCCGACGTCGTGAGCAGCAGGGACGCGACTGGGTTGTAGGCGCCCTCCTGGCAGGCACGTCTGGCCGAGGAGGCGGATGGGGGAGGGAAGAAGGACGGGGAGGACGAGAAGCACGAGAGCGAGGACGATGGCAAGAGGAGGTGGAAGTGGAGGCGGAGGAGAAGGTGGAGCAAGGCGACGCGGAACTGCTGAGATGCCGAGAGGGCGAATCTTCCCTTGCCTCGCTCGGCGCGCTCTGGTCGCCCCTCGGGCGAGCGCCCACGGAGACGGCCGCCTCCGCCGTCACTGGCCGCCCGAGGCGTTGCGGCTCGCGATGTTCGGGAGCGGCCAAGAGGGGGGTGTCCAAGAGGGGGGGGTGCAAATCATGACCGGCGGCATGTGCGCGGCCCAGCGGGGGGGCCAGGAACGCAATAAAATAAGAAGAGGCGCCGCGAAATCTGGGGAGATATCATGGCCCACGCCATGATATCCACCACCCCCCGAGTCATCACCCCCCTCTTTTCCGCCCCCGAGATGTCCGAGTCCCGGAAGCCGTGCACGTAGGGCCCGGGCATGGGCCCGGCCATCATCGCCACGAGCGCGCCGCCGATGAGCGCCGCGGCCACGGTGCGCTCCCAGACGTTGTCGCCGCCGAGCTTCGCTCCGCCCAGCGCGGCCCCGCACGGGGGCACCAGCAGCAGGAGCGGCGCGCCGCCGACAAGGGGCTTCAGCGAGGTCAGCGCCACCGAGAGCCCCACGTGCACCGCCTGCCCGTAGAGCACCGTGTTGAGGACCACCATCAGCGCGCTCGTCGCCAGCAGGCCGACAGCGGCCACCGCGGTGGCGACCAGCGTCCGCATTATCAAGCGCAACGCACCGCCTATCATCGCCCCAGGCCTGGGCGCGCAGCCCGCAGCGCCGGGTGGGCGGATCACTGCCGCCGAGGAAGAAAGGCTTGAGGCGAAACGGCTGCGGAGGCCGGGAGGGCGACGGATGATCAGGCAGGAAGGAAGCGGCACAGGCAGGCGGACTTTGCTGCAGAACGGCAGCCGTGCTTCTCCTCCTCTGCCTCGTCCTTCTTCTCGTCCGCCTCGTCCTCCCTCGCGGTCCTCGTGCTAGTGCTGCCCGGTCTTCTCCTGCCTGCTCTCACTCTAGTCCTCCTCGTCCAGCGGCGGCTGCTGGCCATCCTCTCCCCATCGCCCTCACCCTCCTCCTTCTCCTGCTCCTCCTCCCCCACCCAATCCTCTTGCCGCCATTGTTACTCCTTCTTCTGCTGCTCCCGTCGTCACCCTCAGCTCGTCAAGATCGCGCCTTTCGCTTCGTCGGAATACACTTCATTTACCTTGTACGCTTCCTTCTCCTGAGCATCCACTTCATCCCGTCGTCGTGCTGCTCCTCCTCCTCCTCCTCCTCCTCCTCCTCCTCCTCCTCCTCCTCCTCCGCATCCACTTCCTCCTCATCTTGCCATCGTCCTCAACGTCGTCCTTCTCGTCCTCCCCGTCCGCCGTCCCTTTACCTCCTCCTCCTCCTCCTCCACCTCCTCCTCCTCCTTCTCCTCCTTCTCCTCCTCCTACGTTACCTCCTCATGCGGATGTCCTTGTTCTTGTCCTCTCTCCTCCACCTCCTCCTCCTCCTCCTCTCTCTCCTCTCCTCCCTCCTCCCCTCCGCCTCCGCCTCCGCCTCCGCCTCCTCCTCCTCCTCCCTCCTCCTCCTCCTCCTCCCCCCCCTCCTCCCCCTCCTCCTCCTCCTCCTCCTCCTCCTCCTCCTCCTCCTCCTCCTCCTCCTCCTCCTCCTCCTCCTCCTCCCCCTCCCCCGACTCTTCCTCGACCGCAGGATGGCAAAGACACCCGGCATCTCCGGAGGAAGCCGGGGTGAGATGCGGCCTCGCGAGCGCGCCCAGGACCAGGAACGCGGGCGCCCCAGGGGAAGCCCACCGGCGACTCCGGGACCGCGTGGGGCGGGGCGGCGAGGGGGAGCAGCAGCAGCCAGAAGCTCACTGCCCACCTAGATCCTAGATCGCCCAGCTTCGCGCATCGCGCCCAGCGGTGCGCGACGCGGGGTCATCTTCGCGCCCCCGCACGGCCCATGGCAGCCGCTCTGGCCCAGGCCGCGACGCACGAGGTGCGGTGATCTTCCCGCCCCCGCGGGTGACCTGAACCCGTAGAAGGGCAGTCCAGCGAGGAACGAGAAAGGCCCTCGGACCAAGGTAGATCGGGAGCGGCCAAGAGGGGGGTGGAGACTAGGGGGGGGGGGAGATCGTGGCCAGGGCCATGAGTGAAGGGGCCCCAGGACACATAAACAAGTGGCACGTGTGCCATGGCTCTTGCACAAAAAGGAAGGGGGAGGAGGAGGATGTGGAGGAGGAGGGGGGGGGGAGAGGATGCCAGACATCGCAGAAGGAGTGAACCAAACAGGGCCGCAAGAGGGGCTCCAGAGGGCGAGCGCGAGGAGACTCCAAGGGCCGGCCGTCCCCCGCAAGATGGCTTCAAAGACTTTTGACGGGTTCCCAGGAAGCCTCCAACTGACGCCCGAGAAGCCTACAGAGGGTTCCAAGGGGAGGCCTCCAGGGTCCAAGGAGGGCTGGAAGAAATTACTGAGCGGACTCAGCTGCTGGGGACTCGCGGTGCAAAGTGCGCGGCGGCCTTGTGTTGCGAACGCTTGTCCAAGGCAGTCGCTTTGCACGCAGAGTCTGTCGGGTGTATTCTCGGGGGCCGGCTATGCGCCACTTGAATGGGGCCTCCCCCACAGACCAGACTTTCGGCCGCGGGGGGGCTGGGCGGGCGCTGGAGCCGCGGGGGGCGCGATGAGACGGCGCGGGGGAGGGGGCGGAGCGGGGAGGGGGTGCGGTGCCGAAATAAAGTGGTCGAGGCGGAGGGGGCACTGGGCGGGCGCTGGAGCCGCGGGGGGGCGCTGAGACGGCGCGGGGGAGGGGGCGGAGCGGGGGGGGGGTGCGGTGCCGAAATAAAGTGGTCGGGGCGGAGGGGGCACTGGGCGGGCGCTAGAGCCGCGGGAGGGCGCTGAGACGGCGCGGTGGGGGAGGCTGAAGGGGGGCAGGGGTGCGATGCCGAAATAAAGTGGTCGGGGCGGAGGGGGCGCTGGGCGGGCGCTGGAGCCGCGGGGGGGCGCTGAGACGGCGCGGGGGGAGGGGGCGGGAGCGGGGGGGGGGTGCTGTGCCGAAATATAATGGTCGGGGCAGGAGGGGGCGCTAGGGCGGCGCTGGAGCCGGCGGGGGCGATGAACGGCGCGGGGAGGGGCTGAGCGGGGGGGGGCGTGCCGAAATAAAATGGTCGGGGCGGAAAAGTGGGCACTGGGCGGGCGCGGGAGCCGCGCGGTGGGCGCTGAGACGCGCGGGGAGGGGCGGAGCGGGGAGGGGGGCAGCGGTGCCGAAAATGAAGTGGTCGGGGCGGAGGGGGCACTGGGCTGGGGGGGCGCAGGAGCCGCGGGGGGGGGGGCGCTGAGACGGCGCGGGGGAGGGTGCCTAGGGGGAAGGGGGGGTGGGGGGGTGTGCGGTGCCGAAATAAAGTGGTCGGGGGCGGAGGGGGGAACTGGGCTGGGCGATGTAGCCGCGCGGGTGCGCTGAGACGGCGCGGGGCGGAGGGGGGGGGGGGGTGGGGGGCGGTGCCGAAATAAAGTGGTCGGGGCGGAGGGGGCACTGGGCTGGCGCTGGAGCCGCGCGGGGGCGCTGAGACGGCGCGGGGGAGGGGGCGGAGCGGGGAGGGGGGTGCGGTGCCGAAATAAAGTGGTCGTGGCGGAGGGGGCGCTGGGCGGGCGCTGGAGCCGCGCGGGTGCGCTGAGACGGCGCGGGGAGGGGTGCGAGCGGCGGGGAGGTGCGGTGCCGAAATAAAGTGGTCGGGGCGGAGGGGGCACTGGGCGGGCGCTGGAGCCGCGCGGGGCGCTGAGACGGCGCGGGGGAGGGGGCGGAGCGGGGGGGGGGGTTGCGGTGCCGAAATAAAGTGGTCGGGGCGGAGGGGGCACTGGGCGGGGCGCTGGAGCCGCGCGGGGGCGCTGAGACGGCGCGGGGGCGGGGGCGGAGCGGGGGGGGGGGATACGGTGCCGAAATAAAGTGGTCGGGGCGTAGGGGGCACTGGGCGGCGCTGGACCGCGGGGGGGGCGCTGAGACGGCGCGGGGGAGGGGGCGGAGCGGGGGGGGGTGCGGTGCCGAAATAAAGTGGTCGAGGCGGAGGGGGCCTGGGCGGGCGCTGGAGCCGCGGGGGGGCGCTGAGACGGCGCGGGGGAGGGGGCGGAGCGGGGGGGGTGCGGTGCCGAAATAAAGTGGTCGGGGCGGAGGGGGCACTGGGCGGGCGCTGGAGCCGCGGGAGGGCGCTGAGACGGAGGGGGCGCATGATGATGATGATGATGATGGTGATTATGATGGTGATGATGATGAAGATGATGGTGATGATGGTGATGATGATGATGATGATGATGATGATGATGATGATGATGATGATGAAGGGGGGGGGTGCGGTGCCGAAATAAAGTGGTCGGAGCTCTAAACACCCTGTGCAAGAGAATAAATTCACAAATAAAAGGATTCCTTATATGTTCCCATGTTTTCTGGGTTTCTGTCTCCCCCCCACTTCCCATATTTTCCCATATTTTCTGGGGAGTCGACGATTAACTGTGTCTGTGTGCTTTTTTCCCTCCTGAATGAGATCTCCCCAGACTTCATGGCCCCTCCTCTGGGGGGGGGGGGGGGGCTGCGCCCATCCGACGAGGTCCGCGTGCTCACGGGCAGGGCTGACGAGCTCTGGCCTGGCCCGCCGACTGCAGCAGCGGGGGGGAGCTGGAGGAAGGGGAGGCAGGAGGAGGGCCCTCAGTCGGGTAGGGTTGTACAGTTAACCCGGACAGTAAGGATGCGCGATACGGATGCAAGGGCCTTGGACGCCCATCTCGAAGCGTTTCGAGCGGGGCGCGGCCAACGAAAGTGTCCAAGGATGGACCCAGGAGGCAAGGATGCAAGGGTACCCTTGGGAGGGATGCCTATCCTTACTATGCGGGTCGACTGTACATCGAGGAGGAGGCAACGAAGGGGAGGCAGGAAGAGGGCCCTTAAACTTTGTCACGACTCCCACATTGCCTTCGCCAGGTACGGTTGCACATCGGGGAGGAGGCCACCAAGGGGGGGAGGGCTGGTTGGCATCATTCCAGAACGACTGCAAGACGACCCACGACCATCCAAAGACAGCCCAAGTCTCTCTTCTAAGATCTCCCCCCAAAGTACCCCAGAGGTCCCAAGAAACCTCCAAGAGGCGCCCAGAGTGGCCGCCAGCGAGGCCGCAACATTAAATGCAAGTCTAGGGGTGGAAGGAGAAGGGAGGCGGGACCCTCTCTGGGCCAAGAATGATTCCATGATGCGATTGGGTGAGGATGCGCTCCAGGAGTTCTACAGAGCATCTGGCAGCCCTCGTCTCTGGAGCCCGCGCGGACAGCAGGAAAGCCTGGAAATCTCGGAGCGCACCACTGACACGACTTCTTGCTCCTCGGAGTTCGCGGCGTTCGTCTCTGGAGCCCGCGCGGACAGCAGGAGTACCTGGAACTCTCGGAACCCATCACCACTCCCTAACTCACAGCTCGTCCTGGGAGGCCTCCAGCGCGACGTTGATCTCCGCGGCCCACGAGCCGCCCGGCTGTATGTACATGCTGGCGGCCGAGCAGTCGCCGGTGTTGTAGGCGTTGGTGGCGCACGTCATGAGCTCCACGGCCACTGCCGACTCGTTGAACACCTTCAGTGTTGGCGTCGCCGCACGAGGGCTGGGGCGAGCGGGGAAGCCCTCTGAGAAGGTAAGCAGGGGCTTCCATGAAGTCGGGGATCGACTGACCTGGGTCAATGCAAACCCGGGTCAGTCAGGCCTGTGCCCGAACCCGGGTCAGAGCCCCCTTGGCTCTGCAAGATCCTCCAAGATCCGGCGCCGTGGCTGAGCCCCGTTTGCATGGACCCCCGTCGCTTGAGCCCCGAAGAAGGACTCTGAGGCACGCTCCGGCATCGTGGCAGGCTCCAGCTGTTCTTGTTCCCCATCTCTGGCCAGTTCGAGCATCGTGGAGTCCTTTCTCATCAGTTGGGAAGCTGGCAACTTCCATCAATACCCAGGGCTCGGAGGTTCCCGAGGAGGCTTCTCAGAGGGCGGCAGGGCTTCGATGAAGCCCCCGTGCCCATGCCAACTCAGAAGGCCGCCCCCTTCGAACCGATCCCCTTATGCGCGCCGCCGGACCTTCTCGCTCCCTGAGAAGACCTGCACGAAGCGGAACACGCCGGCGTCGCCACCGATCACCGCGGCGGGAGCGTTGCCGGGGCCCCTCACGCGCACCTCCAAGTCCTTAGGGGAGGTGTCGGCCGAGGGGTCGACGCTGACGAACCCGTTGTCCCAGTACGTGGGCCGGCTCGGCGTGCCACCGATCACGTCCGAGCCGTTGAAGCCCTCGAAGAGCTCCGTGGGCCCTGTGGGGATGAGGTTGGCGTCTGTGACCAGCTGCCTCCACTGCCGACCACCTCGGCGGTCGAACTCCAGCCGCGTCTGGGACACGTCGCTCACCTTGAAGTAGGAGTGCCAGCCAAAGTTGAACGGCACGGGGCCCTGAGCCTGCAGAGGCACAGAAGCGTGCACGCTCAGCACGAACTTCCCCCCTTCAAGCTTGTAGTCCAGCCGCACGCTCAGGCCAGGGAAAGGATATCCTCCGTTGGGAGCCTCCTCCCCGGTGAACGTGTACACAAGGCTTGCCGAGGACCCGCTGCAGGACGCCACCTGCATCCCGTGGCCCTCCAGGAGCCCATGGATGGCCGCGTCGTGGGCCGCGTCGTTGATGTCCAGCGCCAGCTCCTTGCCGAAGTAGCTGTACCTCCCGCCCGCCACCCGGTTGGCCCAGGGCAGCAGCATGCCGGACTTGTGGTACCGAATGTGGTTCTCCAGCGCCTCCTCGGCGGAGCCCAGCGGCAGCAGCACCTCCGCGCCCGCGAGCGTCAGGCTGCCGACGGTGCCCCCGATGGAGGGCAGCACCCTCGCGAAGTCCTGGCCGCCCCGGTCGGACAGCTCCACCGCGGGCAGGCCCTTCCAGTCCACCTCCAGGGGAAAGGCAGAATGGTATGCTGATGCCGCTTCTCCCCGGAGGCCTCCCCCGGGGCGCGTTCGGACCAGACCTTCGAGGCGAGGCCAGCGGTGGCGGCGGGGGGCCTCCCGGGGCGCGTTCGGACCAGAAGTTCGAGGCGACCCCGGCGGTGGCGACGAGGGCCTCCCGGGAGGCCCAACAAGGCGAAGACGAGGGGAAGGGCAGCGGTATGGGTACGGTCGGACCTAGGGCAGAAAAGCACCCTTCAAGAACATGGCACCCTCCGCCTGCCACAACACCCCAACCCATAAGATCACTCGAGGGTCCAATCCCCGAGGATGCACAAGAACGTCCAAAGAAGGCACGAAGAACCTTCGGGTACCCTCCCCGAACCGACCTCGGTCCTTGAGACCTCGGTCCGACCGTACTGTTCCTTCTCTGAACCTCGCTGCACTCCCCCGCGGTGTGGGCCTCCCCTGGGGGTGCGTTCGGACCAACACCTCGAGGCGAACCCAGCGGTGGCGACGCCAGGATCTCCAGGGACAAGAAGGCCGCGCCCCGCCCCTTCCCCTGCCGCTCCTCCCTGGAGGCCCCACAGGGCGAAAACGAGGAGAAGGGCAGCGGTATGGGTACGGTGGGACCTATGACAGAAGGGCATCCTTCGAGAACAGGTGCCTTACCCAAACATCTGGCATCTCGATGTTTGCAAGACGCGGGCCCCCGACCTCCCGACCACTTCCCCAGGGCCGGCTTTGCATCCCGAGCCGTTTTTGGACGGCCCCGAGGCCAGGGGAGGGCCCCGAGAGGTCGAAAACGGTGAACAGCCTCGGCCTCGATTTTGTTTGGGACGCCCGATGCCTGGGTAACACAGGCAAGCTGGACAACGTGGAGGTTGGAAAGTCAGTGAAAGTGAAAAAAACTGGCAGTGGGTCAAGCGAGCCCGAAAAAGTAGGGATGCGGTCGCCAGGGCTGGAACAAAAAGTACAGGGGAACTGGCCAAGGCTGGACAAGAGTGGACTGGCTAGCCCCCGCCGCTTTCTCCCGGCTTCCAGGTACACGGCGTTCATTTCTGATCGTGCTCATCTCTAAGTGCGCTCGTTTCAAATTGTTCCTGGCCCCCTAGTGGCCAGGAAGAGGCCCAGGACGGAACGATTAGAAACGACAGGACCTTGCCACCCCCCAACAAAAAATCAAAGGCCTCTCGAAGCATCAGCACTGAAGAGTGTGCTGCTCTCCTCCGCCGCGGCACCTCGCTGCACTCCAGCGCGGAGGCCTCGACCAGGGCCTCGCCCGCGCGGGGCCCCGACGCGCCCGAGCCCCCGGCGCGCCCGCAGCGCAGCGCCGCCAGGAGGCCGGCCGCCGGCAGGGCGAGGCGCCCCGCCATGCCGCGGCGCCGCCGCGGCCCTGCCGCGCCCCGGCCGGCCACGCGCAGGCGCGGCCCGCCCCAGAGGCCACCCCGGAGGCCCTGGCGACGCCACATCGTCGAGCCTCTCAGACGAAGCGAGGACCAGGATAGGTCACGTCGGGCACAAGGGCAAAATCGAGAACCGCTGAGATCCCGCGGCTCTGGAAGGATTGTCCCCGGCGCCGCGGCCGTCTCAGAGCGTTCTGGAACGCTCCTGGAGCGTTCGGGAAAGCTGTGGAACGGATTTACCCTCGTCCTGGCCCCGTCCGAGAGCCGACAGCCGGACGTTTTCGCCCAGTTCCGGGCCCCGGGACCCTCACAGCTCGGTCCGGCTCGAGAAATCACGCAGAACGATGGGGTATGCGGCTCCGGAGGTCATTTTTCGCAATGTATCAATTTTGTGGGTGCCGTCGGATCTCAGGGAAGGATGGCCGTTGGTGCGCGGCGTCAGGGGGCCGCGGGTACCGTGAGGGTGCGGCGGAGGCGGCGCCCGAGGCGCCTGCTGAAATGCACGCGCGTGAGAAACCGTGAAACGTTGCACGGAACGAGGAGGGAGGAGGCCGAGGAGGAGGAGGAGGGAGGAGGAGGAAGAGGAGGAGGAGGAGGAGAAGGAGAAGGAGAAGGAGAAGGAGAAGGGAGGAGGAGGAGGAGGAGGAGGAGGAGGAGGAGGAGGAGGAGGAGGCCGAGGAGGGACGGCGGCGGCATCACTGCTGCAGGCACGTGGGGGCCGCCTGGCCCGTGCTCGGGCTTCGGGCGCGGCCTGTTCGCTCAGGGCCCCCGGTGCACCATCACGGCCACCAGGCCGGGCGTCCGCGTGGCCGCGTTGGGAGGCTGGGGTCTCAGGGTTGGGTTTCTTGCGTCCTCCTCCTCCTCCTCCTCCTCGTTTCTTGTGGACTGGCCACCGCTGTGAGTCCATTCTGCAGTCGATCCCCTGCTTGAAGTTCTCCTCCACGGGCAGGGCGGCGGCTGTGTGCCGCCCGCGCGCGCCGCGGGGCCCCCTGAGATCCCAGGGTGTCAAGACCCCAGGACGGACACGCCAAATGCGTGCGGGAGGCCAAGAATGCAGACGTGCCAAGACAGAGGCCTACAGGAAGCGGCTAGGGACGAGCCAAATGTGTGCAGGCATCATCCTCGGCAAGTAAGCCTCGGAGGGGACTCCGAGTGACATACTGTGCCCGAGGGCGCTCCGAACCTTGAAAACAAATTCAGGTTAGATGAACAATCGTTCTCGAAAAATATGGCAAGAGAGTGTCAACATGGCTCGATTGGTACCGACCATCTTCGAGGCAGCATCCCTAACACCCACTGGTTTCAAGTCGGGCGTGTCCCCCTACAGGGGGATTTCCGACGAAAAAACAAAACATACCCAAAACCTACTGCAACATGGCCCAAACATACTCAAAAGATCGTCCCCATACTATTGTTTGACTATTTTTGAACACTCCCCCTTTTAGAGCGGCAAGCATACCTCCCCCAGACTATTGGTTGACTATTTGTGAATACTCCCCCCGACGAAAAAAAACAAAACATACTCAAACCATAATCCAAAATGACTCAAAAAATTGTCCCCAGGCTGCTGTTTGACTATTTTTGAACACTCCCCCGAGGGGCAAGCCCGATTGAACACTGGTCTCAGAATCTGCGTGCAGGCTTGCCACCCGAGGAGGTCCCGCCGTGCCTCCCGCTCTGCGGACTCCGTTCGGCGGGCCCCCCGCGGGCCCTCGCCGCGCTGAACTTCGGGAGAAGATGCTGAGAAGATGCTGAGATTACATAGGATTTTTAAAAATATAGGATGTGTAATACATGATTAATGTATGAATGAACTTATGCATGAACCCATCGTTGTTTTAAATGCTAAATCCCTCATTGTTTGATGCATGATCCGCACGCGGAGCATGTATTAAAAACGGCACTGTAGGAACAAGGAAAGGCGACACCAGCACCACCAGGGCGAGGAGATGCGAGGAGGCAAGGGAGGTCTCCCTGGTGGTGTGGTCCCCACCCGCTCGCTCGAGCCATCCCCAGCCTCCAGATCGGGGAAGCATCGTGGACCTCCTCGCTGGAGGTGGGCCCCCTGGTGGTGTTGGTGTCGCTTCTCCTCCCCCGGGGAGATGATGGCGGAATAGAAAGATGCTGCGACGCACACGTACGGCAGGTTCGCGTCGCGCCGACTTCAGTGCTGGTTTCTGATGCCGCGGGGATCGTTCATCCCTGAACGCTCGACCGTTTCCGAAGCGTCAGATCTTCCAACGTCGACCGATTCTGGGCCGCCAACGGCGTTCGACCTTGAACGCTGGCGGCGGGGTCGCCGCCTGTCGACGCGACGCGAACCTACCGTAAAAGGCATGCTGAAAGCGGCCTCACGCATTCCGCCGACCACCTCGCGCTTTCCGCTGGCCGCTTTTAGCAATTCTCTGGGAGACACGTGCAGTTCTAGCGAAACGTGCTCCCAGCGCCAAGCCCATGCGCGTGACAGCTCCGGGGGCACGAACAAAAACAAGTGAGATGCGGTTCCAGGGCTGCGAAATCTTCGTTTCGGCACACCCCAAATGCATTTCCTGCTCCGCGCTCTGCTGGGGCGCGTGACAGTACAATCGATCTGCGCTCCGAAGGTCACGCAGGGCTCAAGTCTAGACACCCTTCACGTACTTAGAGGATGAAAAGACGGCATAATAATAAACTTCTGGCACTCCGCGTGGATTTCTTAGATCTGCGCTGAACCCCCCTCCCTGGCGCGCGGAGCGCGCCAGGGGCGGCCCTGGAGGCGCCGCCAAGGATGGGGGGGGGGGGGGCAGCGCGGATCCAAGAAATCCGCGCGGAACGCCAACAGTTCATGTTTATGCCGTTTTTTCTTCGTCGGTAGACACACTCCACGTATTTCCTGGACCGCACGAGATACAAGTGATTTGCCCATTCCATTTCGATGGGAACCTCAATTCAGCACACCCCTCACCGGGTCTTGCTAGAAGTACCCCTGGCCCAAGGTGCCCCCAGGATTCCCGGGGTGGCCCCGACGGCCTCCAGAGCGCCCCTCACGAGGCCCAGAGGACCCCAGGGGCCCAAAAATCGAGCGAAGAGCTAGGGGTACCTTGGGCCAAGGGCACTTCTAGCAACACCCGACCTCACGCACTTCGTGACTCGTTGACGCTCCGCTCGTGCCCCGTACGCCTCCTTGAAGTTCCAGGTCGGCACATCCCTCACGCACGTCGTGCCCCGTGGACCCCCAAAGGCCATTGGCTGGCTTCCAAGACCGCCTACAGTATCCGGCATGACCTAAGGAACGATACATCAGGAACGAAGCAGTCTACGAAGTCCGAAGAAACACCAGGGCACCAGGGGGGCTCGCCGCCAAAAAGGTAGCGGAACGCATGCAAACCAAAGGAACGACCGAGCCCGTTTTGAAAAGTAAGTGTTCCTTATTTTTCCAGCCGGACCCTGTAATCCCCCTAGGGGCGCGACAACGCCCCCAAGAAGCACCGCAATGGTTGGTGCCGGCCCTTGTCGAGGTAGTGCCCCTAACATCCACGCATTGCGACATCTGCGTGCAAGCTTCCCCCTGGGGGCCCGCTGCGGGACCCGCTCTGAGGGCTCAAACAACAAATATCAGCGATGGCGACGGCAGTCACAACGTCGGGCAGCGCGGCTCCTCGCATCGAAAGCGAACGTAGCTCTTCGAGACGAAGGGTTGTTCCTGAGGCGTCCGCGTGCGGGGGGCGGGCGTAGAGGCGCAGCGGGACGACGACGCGGAGGAAGATGACAAGGAGGCAAAGGATGATAGGGGGAGGAGGGTGAGGAGGAGGCGGAGGATGCGCAGGAGGAAGCGTGTGGCAAAATCAACAGGAGGAAGTGAAGGAGGAGGAGGAGGAACAGGAGAAGAGGAGGAGGAGGAGGAGGAACAGGAGGAGGAGAAGGAGGAGGAGGAGGAGGAGGGAGGGAGGAGGTGGAGGAGGAGGCGGGACGAGGCGCGGAGGAGGAGGAGGGAGGGAGAAGGAGGAGGAGGAGGTGGACGATGATGTGGGGGAGACGGGCGCAACACGCAGCATACAACGTGCAGGCAACGCATCGAGAGCGCGCCAGGATGTGGGGGATAAGAAGAAGACGAAGAAAAAGGGAGAGGGATCAGGAGGAAATAAGGACGGAACAGGCGGGATGATTTGGAGGCTCCGTGTACTCGGTGTCGCAGTAGGCCAGCCAGGACACCAACGCACACACCAGCGCGCAGAAGGCGGCGAAGAGCACGGCCTGTCGACCAGATCCCGCGGGGGGCCCGGGGCCGCGAACCGCGGCTTGGAAGGGCAACCCCCAGGACGTCGTCCTCGTCCTCCTCCTCCTCCTCCTCCTCCTCCTCCTCCTCCTCCTCCTCCTCCTCCTCCTCCTCCCCCTCCTCCGCCTCCTCCTCCTCCTCCTCCTCCTGGGCGTGATTCCTCCTCCTCCTCCTCCTCCTCCTCCTCCTCCTCCTCCTCCTCCTCACTGGTATTCCTCCTCCACTACGCACCCGCAAAACTCCCCCCCCCGCGACCCCCGCCCTCCTCCTCACGCTATAGAGGCATCTGCATCCATGCTGGATGCTTCCATCCCCCGCCCTCCTCCTCCTCCTCCTCCTCCTCCTCCTCCTCCGCCTCCACCTCCTCCTCCTCCTGGGCTTGATTCCTCTTCTCCTCCTCCTCCTCCTCCTCCTCCTCCTCCTCCTCCTCCTCCTCCTCCTCCCCCTCCCGTCCTCCTCCTCCCCTCCCCTCCTCCTCTCCTCCGCCTCGTCCTCTTCCTCCTGGGCTGATTTCCTCCTCCTCCTCCTCTCTCCTCCTCCTCCTCCTCCTCCTCCTCCTCCTCCTCCTCCTCTCCTCCTGCTCCTCCTGCTCCTCCCTGCTCCTCCTCCTCCTCCTCCTCCTCCTCCTCCTCCTCCTCCTCCTCCTCCTCCTCCTCTTTTTTTTTGCATGCGCTACGCTCGATGCGACGCAGAAGGATGATAAAACAGTACTCGGCCCCCGCTTTACAGGAACACTCGGCCGACACGTCTTCCGTCCGCCTTTACAGCGGGCCCTCCGCTTTTGGGGTGTTTTAACCCGGCTTTGTGCGCAGAGTGGCGCGCCAGCGCGTCAATTTCATCCAACGCAGCGACTTCCTCTCCATGCAAAGGTGCACAATTGGTCAGCACCCCATTCACCGCACTGGTGGGCCTGTCTATTCAGGTGAGCAAGCAGCCGGAATCTTGTTGAGAAAACAGTCTGGCACGCCTGGCATTTACAATCGCGGCCAGCATACATACGCATGACATTCTTCACGCCGTGCTTGACACGCACGTGCGTTAACAAAGCCTGCCTGGTCCCCAAAGCTCTGCCACTGCAGTGCGGGCACGAGAACGAAGCAACCGGCGGCTGCGCACTTTCACTGGCCCGTTGATTGTCGCAGACAGAATCCGCGAAGAAGAGCTGTGACACGAGCGAAGCCCATTCCTCGGCGTGGTCGCGCAGAAACGCCGGCCATGCCTCAGGGCACGCATCCGGGTGAAGTAAAACTTCCGTGACACGGGCAACCCTCTCATACAATAGTCTGAGGTCCTTGCCGGCCTGCTGTGCCCACGGGAGCACCGGCCGTCCATCTTTGTCCCGAAGCGGCAGCATGGCCTTCAACGGAAGCGAGGACGACCAGTCTAATCTGCCCAAGTACTTGAGTCTGAATGCTGAACTCAATGCACACTTGTAAATCGGACCTTTCGTTTGCGTCGAACCGGACAGCATCGACGATCCGTCTGTGAACACGCATGTACGTAGCATTTGTGACCTTCAGTTCACGCACACTGAAACACCGCAGATGCGCATTTAACAAGAGCCTCGAAAGTACCAGACTCTCAGGAAGCGAACATGTCACTACCATGTCAAGTTCCTTCCACCCAAACACGCGTCTACATATCGGCACATAAGCGCCCATTGCCTTACTGCTGCGCTTTTTGGCATAAGCGAGTTTGCCACCTTTCGCCTCGACCTCACTGCCAAGATGCGCGTACACGCTAACAAGATGCACAACGTCATCGCAGCCAAGGATTGGCAAGGCTGGTCCCCTGTCGGTCTGTCAGGTCTGCCACACCGCGCACGCATCCTTTCCTCTCAGAGCAAGTATGCCTTCAGTCTTCCCCTTCTTGAAATTGATAACATCCTGTGCTTGGTGAAAACGTCGACAAGAGCACGCAAGAGGACATGGATGGCAGACAGCATGGCACGAGGAGAAGATGCACACATAACGATGCTAAGATCCTCCTCCTCCTCCTCCTCCTCCTCCTCGATCTCCTCCTCCTCTATCTCCTCCTCCTCCTCCTCCTCCTCCTACACCTCCTCCTCCGCCTCCTCCTCCTCCTCCTCTATCTCCTCCTCCTGACGCTTATGGTATAGAAAGGTATTGTCGTGGAAGATGCAGCCATCCTGCTCCTACGTCTCCTCCTTCTCCTTCTCCTTCTCCGTTTCCGTTTCCGTCTCCGTCTCCGTCTCCGTCTCCGTCTCCGTCTCCTCCTCCTCCTCCTCCTCGTCCTCCTCGTCCTCCTCCTCCTCCTCCTCCTCCTCCTCTATCTCCTCCTCCTCCTCCTCTCATCCTCTTCTCCTTCTCCTCCTCCTAATCATCCTCCTCATACTCCTCCTTCGTCCTCGTCCTCCTCCCTCCGTCTCCTCCTCTCCCTCATCGTCCATCTCTCCCTCACCTCCTACTCCTCCTCCTCCTCCTCCTCCTCTCCTCCTCCTCTCCTCTCCTTCCTCCTCCTCCTCCCTCCTCCTCCCCCCGCCACAGTCCTCCTTCCTGGGCTCCTCTCCTCCTCCTCCTCTCTCATCCTGCCTCCTCCCCCTCCTCGTCCTCCGCCTCCTCCTCCTCCTCCTCCTACTCCCTCCCCCATCCTCCACTCCACCTCCACTCCTCCTCCTCCTCCTGCTCCATCCTTCTCCTCCTCCTCAGTCTCAATCCCTGCTCCTTCTCTCCCTTCCTACTCCACCACCTCTCCTCCTCCTCCTCCTCCTCCTCCTCCTCCTCTCTCCTCGTCTCCTCTCCTTCCTTCCCCCTCCTCCTTTCCTCCTCGTCCTCCTCCACCTCCTGCTCCTCGTCCACTCCTTTCTAGTCCCTCCTCCCTCTCTCCACCTCCTCCTCCTCCTCCTCCTCTCATCCTCCTCATCCTCCTCCTCCTCCCCCCCCACTCCTCCTTTCCTCCTCCTCCTCTCCTCCTCCTCCTCCTCCTCCTCATCCCTCCTCACAATCTCTATCATCATCATTTCATCATCTTCATCATCATCATCATCATCATCATCATCATCTATCATCATCATCATCATCATCACCATCATCATCTTCTTCACGTCAGCATCAGCATCAGATCAGCATCAGCATCAGCATCATCTTCATCATCATCATCATCATCATCAGCAGCATCAGCATCATCATACAGCATCATCATCATCATTCCCCTCCTCCCTCCCCTCCTCCTCCTCCTCATCTCACTCCTCCTCCTCTCATCTTCATCATCAACATCATCATCATCATCATCATCATCAGCATCATCATCATCATCATCATCCCCCTCCTCCTCCTCCTCATCATCATCATGAGTATCAGTATCAGTATCATCATCATCAGCATCAGCATCATCATCATCAGCATCATCATCATCGACATCATCAGGATCAACATCATCATCATCATCATCATCATCATCATCAGCATCATCATCATACGCAGCATCATCATCAGCAGCATCAGCATCAGCATCACCATCATCATCATCAGCAAAATCATCACCACCACCACCATCATCATCAGCAGCAGCATCAGCATCATCATCATCAGCATCATCAGCATCATCATCATCATCAGCATCGTCATCATCATCAGCATCATCACCAACACCATCATCATCAACATCATCGTCATCATCAGCATCCCTCTCCTCCTCTTCCTCCTCCTCATCATCATCAGCATCATCAGCATCAGCATCATCACCATCATCCTCAGCATCATCATCAGCATCAGCATCATCATCATCGGCATCATCATCATCACCAGCATCATCATCAACAGCATCATGATCAGCATACTCAGTTGCAGTATCAACATCATCAGCATCATCAGCATCATCATCAGCAGCATCAGCATTCGCATCATCGTTATCATCAGCAGCAGCAGCATCAGCAGCATCATCAGCAGCATCAGCATCGTCAACAGCATCATCACAAACACCATCGCCATCACCATCATCATCATCAGCATCATCAGCATCATCATTAGAAACAGCATCGGCATCATGACTATCAGCATTGTCATCATCAGCATAATCAGCACCAACATAACCATCAGCATCACCTTAGCCATCGTCATCATCAGCATCCGCATCCGCATCCGCATCCGCATCATCATCATCATCATCATCGTCATCAGCATTCCCATCATCGTCATCGTCATCCTCATCCCTACCCTCATCATCATCAGCAGCATCATCAGTATCCTCATCCTCATCCTCAGCATCGTCATCGCCATCCTCATTATCATTATCATCCTCATTCTCATCCTTATCCTCATCCTCCTCAACATCATCATCAGCATCATTATTATCATCAGCATCATCATCACCACCATTATCATCATGAATCCTCAGCAGCAGTTGCATCCTCATCCTCATCCTCAGCATCACCATCATCATCTTAGTCGCCAGCCTTTGCTTCCTCTTTCTCCTCCTCCTCCTCCTCCTCCTCCTCCTCCTCCTCCTCCTCCTCCTCCTCCTCCTCCTCCTCCCTCTCCCCCTGGCCCTCTCCTCGACCCCCCTCCCTCGTGATCGGTGCCTCGCCCCAGGTCGCCTCTGGCTCGAGACGAGCCCCTTGACACCCACAGAGACAAAACAACCTTCCGCCGCGATCGCTTCTCGGGGCTTGAAGCCCGGGCCCGGGTCCTTCCAGGCTCGGGAGCAAAAAGCTGGCACCAGCCCTGCGCAGGGACGCCTTCTGGCCGATGCGCCGCGCCCGGGAAGGCCTACAAGCGTGCACAGACACGTGTCCTCCTCCTGCTGGGCTTGATTCCTTCTCCTCTTCCTCCTCCTCCTCCATCTCCTCCTCCTGACGCTGATGCTGTAGGCATGTGCATCCGTGCGGGATGCTGTTCTCCTCCTCCCCCTCCTCCTCCCCCTCCTCCTCCTCCTCCTCCTCTCCACTCCTCCTCCTCCTCCTCCTCCTCTCTCCTCCTCTCCTCCTCCTCCTCCTCCTCCTCCTCCTCCTCCTCCTCCTCCTCCTCCTCCTCCCCCTCCTCCCCCCTCCTCCTCCTCCTCGCCCTGAGGCCCCTGCTGCCGGAGGCCTTCGGAGGCCCTCTGCAGGCCCCCGAGAGGGACCGTGAGGATGGAGGAGCGTGCGAGGACTTGGATCCTCGAGCCTCCGCGGCAGGACGCTGCGAGGAGACGCTGAGGAGGAGGAGGAGGCGGAGGAGGAGGAGGAGGAAGAGGAGAAGAAAGAGGAGGAGGAGGAGGAGGAGGAGGACTGGGGGTGTGACGCTGGCAGGGGCGGGAAGGAACGTCACGAGGAGATGCGGCCGTTGATTGCTGGGAAGGGCGGCGGCGGAGGTGGCGCCGGGAAGGCTCCGCCAGGAGGGCCCAGCGCCGATCCGAGAAGTAGCCGCGGACCTGCGGAAGTCTACATCCGTGCACGTTGTTCGGCGGCCCACACCCACGCGGGGATGGCGGGAGGGGGGCGGCCTTCTGAGAAGGCAGACGAAGGCTCCCTAGAAGTCCTCGCGGCTCCCAAGAAGCCTGATAAGAAACCGCCTGGGCCCCTCCATGAAACCCCCTGCCGTCTAAGAAGCCCCCCCCGCTTCAGAAGCCCACCGCCCTCGCGCCCAAACCCTTTTGGGCGACGCCCTTCCCACACCCTCGATGGAATGATGTTTTAACAACGTGGGCCACCGGAGATCTCGACCATTTCCCCGGGAACGGCTTTTCATCCTGAGTCGGTCTTCGATTCGCCATCGTGCCCCTTGGCACGTTGAGGCGCGATTGACTGGCAGGGAATATGTAATAGTTTAAGGGCCCCCTCCCCCCCCGCTCCCGAGGCTCTGCCGGCGCCCAGACACGTCCCTGGCGCTCTTCGGGCGCGCCTGCCTGCGTGCACAACCCTTCGCAGAATGCGAAAGAATCGCGCTCCCCAGGCCCAAAGATGCCTCCAAGGACAGCCCAATATCGCTCAAAGGCTGGCCATGTTGGCCTCAAGACGGCCCAATATGGCTCCAAGACGCCCCACGAGGCTGTCGAGGCGTATCGTGAGAGCCCCGAGAGCCTCCCCAATGAGCCCCTAGATGCAAAACTCATGGATACTTCCGACGCTTTTTTGCGTGTGGATCTGCTTTTCGCCATTTCATGCGTCCGACGTCCCAAAACGACCCCAGAAGCCACCCGGACTGCCGCAAGCCGGCCCAGTAGGCCCCCAAGGGGGCCCCAGAACAGCAGAAGAGGGCTCCAAGACGACCCCAGAGGCGCGCACTGTCCAAGAGGGCTCCAAGACGGCCCAGAGAAGGGCCCCAGAGGGTGAACACGCACCGACATCCGCCCCGAGAGGACCCAGGAGGCCCCAAGAAGGCCAAAGGAAGCCCCCAAGAGGCCTCCAGCAGGGCCCCGAGAGGCAAACACCATTGATGTCACATTGTGTCTTCAACGTGCTGGGGGTTCTCGCCTCTTCGAGCTTCCGACGCTCCAAGACGGCCCAAGAGACCCCCAAGACTCTCCCGAAACGGATCGAGAGACCCTCCAAAGAGCTCCGAGACGGCCAAAGAAGGCTCCAAGAGGGCTCCAAGACGGCCCAAGAGCGCTCCAGAAACCCCCATTGCCTTCTCGAGTAGATGCCACCCAAGATGCTGCGCTGGCACGGTGGCGGAATGGCCGGAGGCAGCTGGTTAGTCTCGGGGCCTGGTGAAAATCTCGAGAGGCCGAGCAGAGCGAAAAACCGTCCGCCGCGATCTCTTCACAACGCAGCGGGGGCGGGGACTTGCTGTCTTACTCGAGGACCAGGCTCCACCCCGTTCCGCTGCGGCGCGCGGGCGGGCGGACTGCCTCGATCATCTTGGCGTAGGGCTGGTACCGCGCCAGGTGGCCGTGAACGCGCTGCCTGCGGAGTCGCTCGCCCCTGCTGGCCACGGCTGCTCCCCGATGTCCCCCTCCTGCTCACCCCCGCCATCATCGTCACCATCACCATCACCATCATCATCATCATCATCATCATCATCATCATCATCATCATCATCATCATCAGCAGCATCATCATCATCATCATCATCATCATCATCATCATCATCATGATCATCATCATCACCATCATCAGCATCAGCATCATCATCACCACCATCATCATCATCATCATCATCAGCAGCATCATCAGCAGCATCATCAGCATCCTCAGCATCATCACCCTCATCATCGTTCATCTTCAACAGCATCAGCATCAACATGAGCATCAGTATCATCAACATCATCATCCTCATCATCATCATCAGCATCATCCTTATCACCACCAGCATCACCATCATCAATATCACCATCAGCATGACCACCATCGTCATCATCATCTGTATCATCATAACCACCATCATCGGCACCAGCATCATCATCATCATCATCATCAGCATCAGCATTACCGTCATCACCATCAACAACCTTACCATCACCATAATCGCCAGAATCACCAGCATCATCATCATCGTCATCATCATCAACATCATAAGCATCATCAGCATCATCAATATCAGCATAATCATGAGCATCGTCATCAGCACCAGGATCATCACCATCATCATCATCAGCATCATCATCATGGTCATCATCGTCGTCGTCGCCGCCGTCGTCGTCGCCATCATCATGATCATCATCCCATCATCATCCGTCGTCGTCATCATCATCGTCATCCGCATCCTCATCCTCACCCTCATCCTCGTCCGCATCCTCATCCCCATCACCATCGTCATCCTCATCATCATCCACATCCTCCTCATCCTCCTCATCATCACCATCACCAGTACCATCATTATCACCATAACCATCACAAACGCCATCATCGGCATTATCTGCAGCATCAGCTTCAGCTTCAGCATCAGCATCAGCACCATCATCAGCATCATCACCAGCATAATCATTGTCAATATCGTCATCAGCAGTATCATCATCATCCCAATCGTCATACTCATCCTCATGCCCCCCCCACCCCTCCCCCCACCTCCGCCTCCTCCTCCTACTCCCTTCCTCCTCATTCTCCCCTCCTCTCCTCCTCCCCCCTCAACCACCTCCTCTTCTTCTTCTTCTTCGTCTTCTTCCTGCTCCTCCTCCTCCTCCTCCTCGTCCTCTTCCTCCTCCTCTTTCTCCTCCTCCTCCTCCTCTTCCTCTTCCTCCTCCTCCTCCTTCTCCTCCTCCTCCTCCTCCTCCTCCTCCTCCTCCTCCTCCCCGTACCTCCTCCTCCTCCTCTCCTCTCCTCCTCTCCTCCTCCTCCTCCTCCTCCTCCTCCTCTTCCTCCTGGCCCTCCTCCACCTCCTCCTCCTCCTCCTCCTCCTCCTCCTCCTCCTCCCTCTCCCCCCTCTTCCCCCTCCTCCTCCTCCTCCTCCTCCCCTCCTCCTCCTCCTCCTCCTCCTCCTCCTCCTCCTCCTCCTCCTCCTCCTCCTCCTCCTGCAACTCCTCCTCCTGTCCCTTTTCCCCCCCCTGGCCCCCTCTCTTCACTGGAGAAGAGGGGCGTTTACAGCGCACCGCTGCAGCTAAACCTCCAGAGGCCTTGATGCTGGGCTAATCAGCTTCAGCCCATCTCCGAATGGCCATCCACCTCCTTTAATCCACGAGCATCCTCCTCAACACCCGCCCTTATTCTCCGTTCGGGCGCGGCCTAGCCGACCCCTTCCGTGACGAGCCCCTTCCGTGACGAGCTCTTCACCCTCGGGGCGTCCCCTCGGGCCGTCAGCCCACGCCTTGGAGCGAGGCGATGGGGGTCGGCACGGAGGTGGTCAGCCTGCTCAGGGTCGGCCAGGCCGCCTCTGATCCGTCCCCCCCTGCATCCAGTGGGGACGCGGCCGCAGGAGACTCTCGCGAGAGGCCCAGCCCTGAAAGTCCGCAAACGCTGTTGCCCGGGCCGTTGCTTCCCAAGTCGCGCTGGGGCAGTCCGGGCCACCCGGCGTTCTCCTTCCTACTCCTCCGTCCCCGTCGCCCCGCCCCCGTCCGCTTCCTCGCCCCCCCCCCTCCCGCTCGGATTGACCACGGCGGAAACCACCGCCTCCTCCTCCTCCTCCTCCTCCTCCTCCTCCTCCTCCTCCTCCTCCTCTTCCTCTCCTCCTCTCTTCCTCCTCCTCCTCCCTCCTCCTCCTCCTCTCCCTCCTCCCCTCCTCCCCTCCCTTCCTCCTCTTCCTCTCCTCCTCCTCCTCCTCCTCCTCCTCCTCCTCCTCCTCCTCCTCCTCCTCCTCCTCCTCCTCCTCCCCCTCCCGCTCGGTTGACCACGGTGGAAACCGTCGCCTCCGCAAGCTCACATCATGAAGCCATGACGAGCGACGTGCCTCTATCTACGCGGCACCGTTTCCCCACTTGCGTGCGTGGCCCATTCGGCACTCCGCGCACCTCACGCAATTTCGGCGGTGGACAAACCTCCCTTTAGTAAACCTCCCCTTAGTGAAAACGGCCTGGGACCGAAACCGACGGACCTGGACCCGCAAAAATGACGGCCGCGACGCCCTCTCGCAAACCGAAAACGGCCAATTCCTTAATCGACGTGTCAGGGTAGGAGGTCGATCAACCTCCGACAATTCTGCGCGCCCGAACTTCAGAGCTTACACATGCAAAGCACCCTGATAGCAGCAGACGTGGCATGGGAGACCTGTGGGACCTGCGGGTCATGTGGGACCATCGAAACCTGCGAGACCTCCAGTTGGAGCTGTGGGACCTGAGGGACCTGTGGGACACGGGGGAGCCAGCGGGCGCGGTGGGAACTGCGGGACCTGCGAGACCTCCAGGGCTGTGGGACATGTGGGACTTGTGGGACCTGCGAGGCCAGCGAGACCTGCTGAAACTGTAGGACCAGCGGGACCTCGACCTGTAGGACCCGCGGGGCCTGCAAGACCTGTACGACTTGTTGGAGCTGTGGGACCTGCAGGACCTGAGAAACCCGTGAGTCCTCTGGGACCTGTGGGACCTGCGGGACCTGTCGGCCCTGTGGGTCCTACAAGACCTGCGAGACCTGTGAGACTTGCGGGACCAGTGAAACGTTTCGGACCTGCGGGACATTTGGACTTTGGCGGCCCATGAGACCTGTGGGACCTATGAGACCTGTGAGACCTGAGGGTCTCGTTGGACCCGTGGGACCTGTGGGACCAGTGGGGCATGTAGGACCTGTAAGACCTGTGGGACCAGTGGGGCATGTGGCAACTGCGGGGCCAGCGAGACCTTTTGGCACTGTGGGGCCTGTCGGGCCTGTGGGACGCGTGCGACCTGTGGGACCTGTAAGACCAACGAGACTTGCGGTGTCTGTGGGACCTGTGGGCATTCTGGGAGCCGTGGAACATACGGAACCTGCGGGACCTGTAAAATTGAGAGGGCCTGCGACACCTGTGGGACTTGTGGACCTATGGGACGCGTGGGGGCCTGCGAGTCCGGCGGCACCTGCGGCGCCTGCGAGATTTGTCGGACCTGCTGGACCTGTGGGACCAGTGGGACCTGCGCTGCCTGTGAAACCTGCGGGACCTGTGAGACTTGCGACACATGTACCTGGGGGACCTGTGGGACCTCTGGTTTGTGGGGCCTGTGGGACGCGTGAAACCTGCGAGACCTGCGAGACCTGCGAAACCTGTGGGACCTGTGGGACCCGCGGGGCCTGTATAACCTCTGGGACCTGCGAGACCTGCGAGACCTGTGAGACCTGTGAGACCTGTGAGACCTGTGAGACCTGTGGGACCTGTGGGACTTGCGACTGCCGAGGACCCAATTAAGGCCCTCAAGTGCGTGACCGCGAGACACCCAAATGAGGACCTCACTTGGAACCCTGGGAAATCCTTACTACAAATGGTGGATCGACAAATGTCTCGTGCACCGTGCTGTGGGACCATCGAAGCCCCCCAGGGGATGTCTGAAGGAACCTGGCATCTCCTTACAACCACTTTGTTTTTTTGGAGCGGGGGGACCCAAAGTTCAAACGTCCCGGTATGGCCAGCCTTCGGAGGCCCCCCACCAGCCAGCTCGCTTGGAAATGCGAATTAACTGTTCTGCCGAGACTTGAAGGCGACTCTGCTGCCGTCGCCGCCACAAACGCACTGCATCTGGTATTCCGCAGGCGAAGCAAGGAAACCGTCACGGAGGCGGGCGAGAAATGACAAATCAACAGCACACAATGCGAATGCAGGAGGGGGGCAAAGAGAAGAGGTCGGGCGAGAAGCGAACAACAAACGATCAACGCCCCCCCCTCCAAAGCGCGCCGCAAAGAGGGGAATGGGGCGGGGGCCCGACGCACCCAGTTCAGTTCAGTTCAGTTCAGAAGCCTTGCGTCCGGACGGCGCGCGAGCAGGCCAATCCGCCCATGCAAGACACGAGCAGCTAGCAAGCGAAAAGGGCGTTACATGCCGCCTTCAGCATAGTGCTGTAATGCCGCAGCGACCACATGTCTACAAATGCGAACTCCCCTGAACAGAGCGCGCGTGCGTCGAGACAACGACACGCATAATCGCCACTCGGCCTCACGAAAGCGCATCGAAAGGAACCTCCACGGGAAACGAGCTGCCAGTGGCAAGGCCGCAGCCCACCCCCGCAGTCAGGGAAATCTACGCCCCCCCGCGCACTCCTCTCTCCACCTGCTCCCCCGTCACCCCCCCCGGCCCTCTGCGCCTCCTCCCCCCCTCTGTTCCGTTCCCCTCCCCATCCCAGCCCCGCAACTCATGAAGTCCGCGCCCCCTCCGCGCACTCCACCCTCCCCCTCCTCCCCCGCCACCTCGCACCCCCCTCCGCCTGAGGGGATCTGCGCCATGGTAACGGATGGGAGGGAGGGGTAGGATGTCAGATATGACGCGAGCGCACCTAGCTTGACGTCCCCCCTCCCCCCCCTCCCCCCCCTGCTCGGAGCGCACCCCCTGCGGCCGGCGGCAGCCTCAGGGCCCCCACGTCCAGCGCCAGCTTCGTGTGCAGGGCGCTGAAGGGGCCGAGGATGGCGGCCACCAGGACGAAGAAGGGGACGTCCGCCCAGGTCCAGGAGTTCGACTGGGAGCAGGCGGGAGGCGGGAGAGGTGGAGACGTGGGGGGGGGGGCTAAGAGATAGGCGAGCGCAGGGCGCTGAATTGAGGCCGCGGAGGGCGGTCACGAAGAATGGGGACGTGGGTCAGGTCGAAGAGTTCGACTGGGGGGAGGCGGGAGGCGGGAGGGGTGGAAAGAGGGGGGAAGGGCGTGGGATGACGAATGGGGGGGAGGGAGATGCGGGGCGCTGCGTGTGCATGGGCTGGCGGCGGCCACCAGGACGGAAGAAGGGGGCCGTCGAACAGGGCCAGGAGTTCGACGGGGGGGAGGTGAACGGGGTGGGAGAGGTGGGAAGAGGGGTGGAAGAGAGGGGGGGGGGGCAGGGCGCTGAGTGGGCCCGAGGATGGCGGCCACGATGAAGAAGAGGGGGGACGTCGGCCCAGCGCCAGGCCTGGCAAACTCCCGATTGGCAGAATCCTGGTGTCGGGGGCCCTGGGGGACAGGGGACAGGGGCAGACCAAGTGCGCTCGCGCCACGCCTGACTCCCTGCCTCTCCCAGCCACCCCTTCCAGGTGCGCTCCCTTGGGACAGGCAACGGGCCGGAGAGGAGAGAACACACCCTCCTACTACACGGACGGAGAAAGTGCCCAATGCCGGACGAGCCCAGCTCGCGGCAGGAGAGCCTGCACGCCTCTGCCGAGCCCGATGCGGCAGCGCCCCAATGCTCCGTCGACATCCGCCACCGTGTCGCGAGGCACTGACCAAAAAGTGCCCGATGCGGCCGGCAACGCCCCAATGCTTCGTCAACATCCGCCACCGTGTCGCGAGGCACTGACCGGAGTGCCCTCAGGCCCTCAGGCCCCTTCCGCTCCGAAGTGGAGGAGGGCAGCAGGGGAAGAGGAGGCAGGGACCGCTGGACCGCTCCCGGAGCGCGCCCCGACAGCGAGACTTCGCGGCGGACCCAGCGTTTCCGCGTGGCGACCGAGGGCCGCCCCCTGGGAGGCCCGCGCACGCGCGAGGAGGCGCAGGGCGTCCTTGAGGACGAAAAGGGAGCAGGAGGAGGAAGAGAAGGAGGAGGAGGAGGAGGAGGAGGAGGAGGAGGAGGAGGAGGAGGAGGAGGAAGAGGGCGGGGAGGCGGGCCCCCCTTTGCCCGGCCGGCCTGCGCTCCTCTGCCCCCCTCGGTCGGCCCTCGCCCTCTCGCCGGCTACGCGGCGGGGCGGCGGCAGAGAGAGAGGCCGCGGCGGCGCGGGCGGGACTGCCGCGGGCAGCAGGGCCCCGTGGCGTGCTGCGGGGATTCCTCCTCCTCCCCTCCTCGTCCTTGCCCCCTCCTTCTCCTCCCCATCCGCCGCCTCCCCATCCCTCTTCCCCATCCCGCTTCCCATCCGCCTCCAGCTCGCCCTCTTTTTCTCTTTCTCTCTCTCTTTTTCTATCTCTCTTGTTATTTCTTTCTTTATTTCTCTCTCTCTCTCTCTCTCTTTTTGTTATCTCTCTCTCTCTCTCTCTTTGTGTATATATATATATATATATTCATTTATTCATAGTCTCAATACCACATTGCATCGACGATGTGAAACAAATATCGGACCCTTCCGCCTTCCCGAGGAGAGACACAGAGGAGGTAAGTCTCATTTCGATCTGCACCTCCCCTCCTCACACAGCTCCTCGTCAGCGTCGTCCTCGTCCTCCTCCACTCATGCTCTTCCTCCTGCTCCTGCTCCATGCATCCTTCACCTCCACGTCCTTCTCCTCCTCCTCCTCCTCCTCCTCCTCCTTGTTATCTCCCTCCTCCTATCCTCTATTCCGCCCTCTTGCACTCCTCCCCGCCACCCACTCATGCTCCTCCTCCTCCTCCTCCTCCTCCTCCTCCTCCTCCTCCTGCTCCGCCTCACTCCTCCGTGACAACACACCCCCAGGACCGCAGAGGACCAGCGCAGGACGACAGAAACAAGAGCAACGAAGAAAAAAAACAGCAGCGTGGTGATTGCGGGAAGCCTGCGCTGCGCTGGGGCCGGCCCGCTTTAGAGCGGCTCCCATCCCGCCGCTATCTCCCCCTCGGCATCCCTGTCCCCCAACCCTCCTCCTCCGCCCGATGCCTCGTCCAATCCTCGATCCCCCATTCGTCTTCGCTCTCCTTCTCGGCCCCCTCTTCCTCCCTGCCTCGCTCCCTCCCCCTGACCCCTGACCCCCTCCATATACCCATCCCCACTCTCCGAACTCCCCTCCCATCGCCACCTCCCTCTCCCTACAACCTCAGACGTCGCTGACTTGCGCACTACAAGCACAGCCGGTCTGACCCTTTGGGCCAGCCTTCCCTGCCTCGCGCAAGACATCTACGAATCATGCCCGTGTGGAGGAGGACTAGCAGAAGGGGGAGGAAAAGATGAGGATGAGGAAGAGGAATAGGATAGGTGAATCGAATGATGATGAGAATTGGGAAGGGAAGGACCAAGAGGATTATATGTGTGGGGGTGGTTGCTTTGAGGCGGACAGAGTCTGGAGGCGGGAGTGGAACCCGGGAGGAGGGAAACTGGGGGGTACGTAACTGGCATGGCTTTGGCGCCAGTGACGCGCTTCGAATCGCGAGGTGGCCTACGGCCTGCGGACGCACGGGCGACAGATCGCAAGGGCCGGCTGCACGCAGGAGCGATCCAAGGCAAGAGCCACCTTTTGATGCGCGGCTTGACGGGGGCGAGGGGGGGGGGGCGGACTGAACCCGAGCGCGCATGCCGCTGCTATCGCATCGCACTCAGCGATACAGTCGAGGCGTTGACCTAAGGAACCCTAAATTTAAGGAACAGGGCCCATTTCTTCAATAAGTTGAACTTCGATTTCCCATGGAAAACCTCAGGAAAACAGAAGGCAAACTGTAGAACAATCAAGGAACGCGGAGCCCCTCCCCAACCAAAAGGGCTCCTTCTTCAGGGCCCCGACTGTATCGCATCGCACTCAGCGATAGGGGGGACCCCAATGGGCCAGCACCGAGGGCACCTCCGGCGAAAAGGGGCCACTCTTGCGCGTATAGTCGACGGGGGGCTGCGCACGGACGGGACCCCGCAGCCCGCCCAGCGAGGGGCCTGCACAGGCCCCCACTGGCCATCGCTCGGACGTCCATTTCCTGCGCTTTTTTCGGTTTCGTGCGTGGTTTCTCGCGAAATGATCCAGGATGCTCCTCGATGGTGACTACCTACCAGACCACCCCAACCCTACCCGAAGACCCGAATTTGACCCGAATTTCGGGTTGGGGGGGGGGTACGGATACCATGTGTTTTTTCAACGTTCCCCGACCCCCCCCCCACTGGAAATGCAAGGCAAATTGACGGCTTCGGGTTGAGTTGGGGTGCTGTGGTTGGCGGTGAGATGGTCCTCGCCGAAGAAAAAATGCACACGTCCGAGCGGTGCCGAGCCCACGGCAGCCCCTGCGGACCCGGCAGGCCCGACGGCCCCGGGCGCGGAGGGCCCGGCGGCGAGGTGGTGCCGAGACCGCCCAGCCAGCCTCGGCGCGCCGCCGACGCCTCGGCGAGGCGGCGCGCTGCTCCGACCCCATCCACTCGGACCCCGCCTGGGAGGCCTGGCGTCGATGCCCCCCTAAAACAGGGCTGGGATCGGGATTGATCGCTCCAGAGCGTTCCGGAGCGCTCTCAAAGCGTTCCGGCACGCTCTGGAGCGGCCGCGGCGCCCAATACATCCTCCAAAAACCCGCTGATTCTCAGAGATTTCGAGTTATCCCGATCCGATTTTGCCCCGATCTTCGCGTCGTTTTACCCCCCCCCCGAGCCCATCCCGCCCCCCCTCCACCCCCCAGCGCTGCCCCCTGACGCCACCGTGGCCGAGGAGCAGGCGAGGGCCCTCCCGGAGACGTCGCTCGAGGCCTCTCCGGTCCCCCGCCCGTGGACGCAGCGCGAACCTCCTCGCCCAGGGGCGGCCCCGCTCTCGCACGGGCCCGAGCGACGCAGGCCCTCGTGGAAGCTGCTCCGGAACCGCCAGAGCCTCTGCCCACGACGACGTGCGCATCCCGAGCAGCTCCCTTGACGCCCCAGCAAGGCCCAGGAGGCCGAACACGAGGAGGAGCCTCCAGGACCCGTCTTCTTCGTGCCCACGGCTGCTGGTGGTGGCGCCGCTCCTCCACGCCCCCCCCCCCTCAGGCCGTGGGCCGCCTGCGTGCAGCCCAGCGCCTTGCCACCGACAGACCTAGCTAGTTACTACATGGCCCACTCCGAAGCCCTGAGCCCCAAGAAGTTGGCACTGGACGCCCGGTGGTGCAAGGATCTGGCGTCCTGAGGGAGGGGGTCTCAAGGACAGGAAGGGATCCAAGGGCGGATTTAGCAACAGAAGACACGCCATAAACATAGACTGTTGGCGCTCCGCACGGATTTCTTAGATCTGCGCTGGACCCCCTGCCGCGCGGAGCGCGCCAGGGGTCGGCGCCGGAGGCGCAGCCAGGTTGGCCCCAGTGCGGATCCCAGAAATCCGCGCGGAAACCTACGCTTACATGGCGTTTTCTCTTCGAGGATGTGCACCATTTGAAGCACCTCGTCCTCAGGACCCCATCCATCAGGACCCTGCAGTCGGGGTGTTGACCTAAGGAACCCTAAAGAAGGAACGAGGCCCCTTTTCTCCACAAGGTAAGCTCCATTGCCCATCGAAAACCAAAGGAAAACCGAAGGCAAACTGCAAAACAGCTAAGGAACACTGAGCCCCTCCCAAACGAACAAGGTTCCTTCTTCAGCGCCCCGACTGTATCGCTGAACCGCCGACATGCGGTGGGAACGTCCCGGCGGGGCCGCCCTCCCTCGCAGGTGCACCACCTCCTCCGAGGCGCTCGAGGGCGAGGCCCTCTCGGGAACGCCCGGAGACGAGCTGCGCCCGGCCTCCCCCGCTGCGCGGGGCCGGCGGGGCACGAGGCTCGAGCAGCGCTAGTCTGGGTCCAGCTCCCAAGGGCTGCCGGCTCGGGGGCTGGGGCCCGCCAGCCCGTCCAGCCACTCGATCATCGACACCTTCGCCGGCATCTCCGCGGGCAGGCGGGGCGCCTGCCCAGGGACCCCCCCCTGCCCCACTCCTCCCTCCGCCCGCGTGGGGGGGGTGAGAGGCGAGGGAGGAGGGGCAAAGGTAGAGGTAAAGGCGCTTTGGGAGTCTGGCAAAGCGCTCCTCGCCGTGGGCCTCAGGGAGGAGGGGAGGAGGAGGACGAAGAGGGCGAGGAGGAAGGGGAGGTCCCCCGAACCCCTTCCTCCTGCCTCTCCTCGTCCTCTCCTTTCCCCGTCCTCCTCTCTATCATCCTGGAAGATCGGGGGCGCGCCTCTGGGGAAGGCAGAGGGGGCGGGCCTTCCCAGAAGGCTCAGAACTGCCTCCGGCCTGCCGCGCAGCTCTCCAAGCCTGCTCCGAGACCACGGAGGGCTTCCCTGTAGACCAGCCAGCTTCTGACAAGCCCCGCCGCCCTCTGAGGAGGCCCGCCCCCTCTCGCTTTCCCCCCTCGGCGCGCCAACGAGCAAGAGGAGGAGGAGGCGCAGCAGCAGGAGGGGGCATTCGATCGTCGGCACCTCCGTCGGCAGCGTGTCCGTGGGAGGCTGCTGCAGCGGCGGGGGCGGCTCCAGCGCGGGGGCATCGGCGTCGCTCTCGTCCACGGCAAAGGGGCCCGCCAGCGGGGGCGGCCCCAGCGAGGGGAGATCAGCGTCGCTCTCGTCCACGGCAAAGGGGACCGCCAGCGGGGGCCGCCCCAGCGAGGGGGCATCAGCGTCGCTCTCGTCCACGGCAAAGGGGCCCGCCAGCGGGAGGGGCTCCTGCGAGGGGGCCGCGTCACTCTCGTGCACGACAAAGGGCCTCGCCGAGGTGGAGGTGGAGGGCGGCGGAGGAAGGAGGAGGATGACGAGGGGGGGAGGAAGAGGAGGAGGAGGAGGAGGAGGGAGGAGGAGGAGGAGGAGGAGGAGGAGGAGAAGGAAGGAGGAAGTATGAAGGAGGAGAGAGGAGGAGAAGGAAGTCAAGGAAGGCGGAGGAGAATGAGGAGGATGACGAAGGCGGAAGGACGGAGGACGATGAAAAGGACGGGCATCGCGGCCCCTGCGCCCAGGCTCCCAACCACCCGCGCGGGCCGCGCCGGAGGCCCGCCCTGGGCGCCGCCACTGCCGTGGCGGCGCGGGCACCTGCGCGGCCACCAGGCGATGGCCTCCTCGCCGCCGCCGAGGCTACGAGAAGTCCGTGTCGTGACGACCCCGGCGTTGGCTTTCGACACCGCGGGGATCGCTCAACCTGGCACGATCGGCGGCTTTGCGACCGCCAGGTCGTTCCATGCTGTCCGATGATGAGCCGCTGGCAGCGCTCCACCCGGAACGCCCGCGGCGGGGTCGCCGCGGCGTCGACGCGACACGAACCCATCGTCCCACTCGCCATCGCTCGGACGTCCATTCCCTGTGTGTTTTTTCGGTTTCGTGCGTGGTTTCTTCGCCAAATGATCAAGGATGCTCCTCGATGGTCCTCGCCGAAAGAAAAAGGCACACGTCCGAGCGATGCCAAGCCCACCCGGTTGGTGGCGAGCCACACCGCCGAGCAGGAGAGCCCTGCCCTGGGAGCAAGCCCTGCCCTATAGGAGGGCCCTGCTCTGGGAGGGCCTTCTCCGCCGCTCGCGCCGCCATCACCGCTTCAGCTGCAGAGCCATGGCCATTTGTCCGAGTCCAGGCAGAGATGTACTGTGTTTTACCGCGCCGCCGTCCGCAGCATGGCGCGAGACCGGGAGCAGTAGCGAGCGCGCGGCATGGCGTGCCTCGTCCCGAAAACTGCCCGCAAGCCGGCCGCCGACGCCGCCATGCTCCCGAGCACGCCCAGCGACTACGGCGACACGCGCAAACAGCATGATGCACGGCGAGCGCCGCCACTCGCTGGCACCGCCCCTCCTCGCCGCCACCAAACCTTGAGGTGCACGGTCCACCGGCAGGAGCGCGGAAAGCGCACCGCGCGCCGCACGGACGACGGGCAGTCCACAGCACCACGGCGACCACGAGCACCGCACCTCGTCGCACCGACCCCCGTCGCCTCCAGGCAAGGCCGACACGAGCTGCCGAGATGCAATCCACCATCGGGTGCTCGCCAACGGGGGTGCAACCGACAAGGAGCGTGGGGTGCAGAAGCGCGCGCCTTTCGCGCACACCCTTCGGGCCCGCGGTGGCAGCTTCGGAGCCCTTCCAGGGCCCCCGTAGGGCCCCTTCCCTGCAACCCTCGCTCTCCCCACGCTCACTGCCCCCCCGGTGCCGTCCGCCCGACACCCGGCGAAGCCCGCCGCCTCCGGCATCCGCAGACTATGGCCTCCTGCTCGGCTGCGCCCGTGCTGCTCCATCGTCGCCACCGCTCCTCGCCGCCGCCGCTGCTCGACGCTGCTACCCTCCTCGAGGGACTGACGACGACGGGAGGCCTGACGAGGCCGCCGTCGAGGACACCTCAAAGAATGACCGAGGAATGACCAATCGGCACCCTGGGCCGTCCCCGGGGCTCGAATTAGAGCCCGAGTCAGACTCCGCCAGCCTCGGCGTCCTCACGCCTGCACTGCACCATGACCCTGCCGAGCTGGGAATCCGCCACTCCACCAAGGGAGCTTGAATTAGCGAGGCCCGCGGGGACACACTCCACCGCGGAGTACGGGCAGCGGGGAGGAAGCGGAGCGGGAGGAGGACTCCGCCGAGGAGGAGGACAGCGAGGAGGACCACGTCGGCGGCACCAGGGAGGGCGACGGCAGGGCCTGCGTCGGCGCGACTGGCGGAGGCCCACCGCCGCCGCCTCTCCTCCTCGACGCGGGCCCTCGCGGCCGCACCCCATCCACGGGCGGACCTCGACGACGACGCCGTCGGCGCCGCGCGCTGGCCTCCCCTGGAAAGCTTCTTAGAAGGAGGCGGTTCCTCAGAAGGGGCGGGCCTCACATCTGCAGACGAGGCCCGAACCTTCTGAAAAGCAGAGATGCTTCCAAGGAGTCTACCCCCCTCCCCCCATCCCCCTCTGAGCGTGGCCGGAGCACCTCGCGCGTCCCCGCGCAGCTCCGCCTTGCACGCCACAGCGCTGGCGGTCGCAGGGCCTGTCGCCGCCGCTCCTCGTCGCCAGTCCCCCCCCCCATAGAACCACAGCGACGATAGGCTCCACGGGGACGACGCCGAAGACACCTCCGAGGAGGATGGGGAGCCCGTGGAGGAGGACGACGGGGAGCTTAGCTGCCCCGAGACGCAACACGCAGCAGGCAGCGCATCGATGCGAAGCTCAACGCGTAGACTGAAAACGCGGGTATGGCGCGATACGTGCGCCAAGACGTGGGACACTACGCTGAGCCAGCACGCAACGTATTGGCACGGACATCTGCAGCACGGCACGTGCTGCGCCTCAGAACGGGCGCATCGAGGCAGCTAAGACGAGTAGAGCACCCCTGCGGAGACGGCGGGCGAAGAACCCGACCACGACCACTCTGCCGACGTGCGGGTGGCCGGCAGCATCCTAGGCAGCGGGACCCTCAGGAAGAAGGGCCCAGGCTTCTCCGCGCGGGGGACATTCCACGAGGCCGTCCAGCGCTTTACAGAGTGCATCTGGCTAGCGGCACCTGGGCGCCTGTCAGACGGCCCTCGTGCACTCCAGTCAATTCTATGTTCGAATCGCGCTCGCGCTCAGATCATACTCATGTACTGGTCAGACGCCGCCATCGACAACACTGAGGCGCTATGCCTCAAAGACGGGAACATCAACGCTCGGAATATGTGTGCTCACACCCGTCTCGAGAAGTCGAGAAGGGCCTAATCCGCGACGAGTACCACAAAAATAAACAGGTCCTGAAGTCCGCGCCAGACAATGAGCAACGATTCGAGGTCCGAAGTGGAAGCGCAGAAGCTAGGGCAACGGGCAACTATCTTCGCGCGTCGCGCTCCGCGAAGCTCACTTCGCGTTTTCGCGCCGCCTCCTACAGAACAGGATGAGGGACTCGCGCCTCGCTCTGAAATTGCCTTGACCGCGAAACGTGACTAACTTCGCGCCCTTGTGGTGGCCCTGGTAAATGAGCGGATCTTGCACCGGCCCATTGCAGCTTGGGGCGGCGAGGGACGATACGCTGGCTCCATCTGAACGTCGTGCGGCACCGTCCGTGTGGCAAGGACGTTGAGATGTGAGGGGTGACGCAAAACGAATCTTCAGGCGATGCGTGAGGATTACATTTGAAGCCAGCCGTCTGTCGTACTGATGCCGACCATGTCCCTATTCATTCATACTTCCAGCCATTCCCTGAACATCTTGTCTGCAACGTGTATATCGCACGCTCGGTGAAGGAGCGCGGACCCTGCAATCGATGGCCCAGCGGGGCCCCCTATCGTGGCCCATGAATAGAGCTGTTCGGCGTCTTCTACCGCCAGGGTGTCATGTACTGCCAGTGGCAACAGCCAATCTCGCCACCGTCGCCCCAGCCACTGCCTGATGGTGCCCGCAGCGGCGGACTCGTACAACTGCTCACTTGCCCCGCGTGCCGTTCCGCGTGTCGCCCGGTATTGCACTGTGGGGACTCAGCTGGGAGGGTCCTTCAGTCATGCATGCTCATGTCCTGTCATGCGTTCCGTCGCGGGGGTTCTATCAGAGCAGGGCGAGCTGAGACACCGGCAGCTCCAAAACAATTCCCCGACGGCTACTAGGGTCCGTGCGCACCAATTTCGCGAGGGGGGGGGCCCAAAAACCTACCCCGTCTCACTCTGCACGGCCCATCGCCTCAGCGGTACCCTCCCCGTCGCCATGGCAGGCCATCTTGGCGTGAGGCTGCCTCGCCGCCACGAACTCTACGCCGCACGGTCGGCACCCAGCAGCTCCGCGTGCCGAGTAGAGCGGCTACCGCGCCGCCCTCCACATCGCCGTCCTGCAGCGCTGGCGCCGTTGCGGGCGGGGCTGAACGGGCCCCGCCCTCTCTCTCCGCCCTCTCCATTCCCAAGGGGGGGCTCGACGTGGCGGAGTAGCAGGGGGCTCCTCCTCCTCTCTCCCCCCCCGGTCCGCGGACCCAGCGACGCGGCTGGCGACCGAACGCGCCGAATCTACTGGCCCGCCCTAGCGCAGCAGGGCGGACCACCGGCGCTAGCTTGGTTGCACCAGCGACGCTGGCGCTGCGGTGCAGAGACGAAAGCAGTCGAAAAGGAGGAAGGAGGAAGGAGAAAGGAGGAGGAACGAGGAATAACAAAGGAGGAGGAGGATGAGGAGGAGGAGGAGGAGGAGGAGGAGGAAGGACGAAGGAGGACCCCGAAGTTGACCAGTGGTCTATCCAAAAAGGCGGAAGCGGGCACTCTTATATCAAGAAGGTGCCCGAGAATAACATTATGAAACGACGCAAGAATAGAGCAGCCAATGAGATACAAACCAAAATGGACTGGATCCAATCAAATCGAAGACACACACGAGTGCACAACAAGTGAGAAAGCCCTCGCTTCACCTGAAATGTGTACGCCGTCCTTCGAAATGGCGCAGGCATGCAAAACAAGTGAAGAATTCCGTCCCGTCGTCTGAAATTCGCGCCGTCCTTCGAATGGCGCTGCAAACATAAACAAGAGAGAACTCCGTCCGTCACCAGAAATGTACGCGCCGTCCTCCAATGGCGCAGGCCTGCAAAACAATGTGATCCGTCCCGTCACCTGAAGTTACGCGCCGTCCTTCAATGGCGCATCACAAAAGGTGTGTGAAATCTCTCCCATCAGCAAAAGAAATAAACGCCGTCACGACCCCACAACCGATAACATGAGAATGCTACGTACTGTCAGCGCGAGCCCTGTCCCTGATGAGCTGCCGCCGAGCCTCTTCTCGGAAATGCTCAACATCCAAGGCTTGCTCGC